GGAGTCAGCTGAACGGTAAGAACAAGATCCGGGCCATCAAAACCTACACCTTGCCTGTGATCAGGTACCCTGCTTGGATAATAAGCTGACCAAAGGAGGAGTTAGAAGCCACTGACATCAAGACCAGGAAACTCCTGAACATGCATGGAGGGTTTCACCCTAAGTCCAGCACCCTAAGGCTGTATACCAAGTCGAAGGAAGGAGGCCGGGGACTGATGAGCATCAGCACCACAGTCCAGAATGAGGCAGTGAACATTCATCAATGCATGAGGAAGATGGTGATGGGAAGGGACGTGAGTACTCAGACTGTGCTTATTAAATGCCATTGGAACAGATCTTGGAGAAACTCATGGCTCTCCAACAGAAATTTGATAGACCTGGTGACCAGTTACGGACAGCTGTGGAATTGGAATGCAGTTTGTTCGCACTAACCCAAGCAACCATCACCTTCACTCATGCAGTTACTCTGTCGCCAGCTGGCCCCAAGGCCGAGGCTGGCTGGAACAACAAAATCCTCCCTGATAACGGGACAGACCTTTGAAATAAAATATGTATATATATTGGGGGTGGGAATTTAACGTGTTAATTGTGATGAATTAATTTGAAAAAAAAAAAAATAACGCATGAAAAAAATAAAGCCTTTAATTGCACTTTGCATTCCTAGATTTCCTTGTATACCGATTACACCGATGCACATATCAGAGTGTGGTGGGGCGTGGTTGGCGGTGCTGTGGCAGGGAAGGCAGACGCACCTGCGCAGCATCGCAATCACGCGTCACCAGCTTAAGAGCAGTGTAGGGTCCGGTTATTTGTGAGCGTGTCCGGCTGGCACCTGGAAAGCTGAGCCGTAAGTGTGAACAGCAACTGAAAATAAAGTGGAAATGTCAGCACATGGTGAACCGTGGCTGCATTTTGCCTCATTCCTGCCACACAGAGCTACAATGTAGTGATGTGTCGGTCGCGAACGAAACGGCTCTTTACCTCGATTAATCGAGGTTAATTAAAAGCCTCTAATTGATCATTTTTTTAATCGAGTCCCAGCACTAATGTGTGTGTGTGTATATATATGTACAGATAGATAGATAAGTAACCTTTATTATGTTTTTTTCTAAGATTATTTGAATTGAATTTGGTAAAACTTTAATGCGTTCTTCAACCCAGCATCGCCTTTTCACACAAGCGCAGTCAACATGAACTCATAATCATAAACATTTACAGCTTTCCACTGAAAGCCTACAAGTTGGGGCATCTCAACAAATCAGAGATAAGGTGATATTAAGTTTTGAGTTGGACAGGCCCAGTCAAGACTTATTTGTATTGGAATGTGTGTTATTCTGTGGGTTTACCTGACACGGGGTGAAAGCTGCTGATAAAGCAAAGCTCATTTTGGATCGAAAAGCGTAGTAAGCAGTGTGTGAGGCAACAAGCATTGTAACAGCTCCTCCATTACAGGAATAGCTATTAAAATGATTTTACATCCTAGAATAAAGATAAAATTCTGCTTGTTAGCCTTAATTTAACATTCAATTAAGTACAGTATTTTCAAAGTACTGCTTTGTCTGGGTTTTTTGTGTTCGCTTTTGCTCTTCTTTACAGTCCATCCCGAAACAGCTGGATGGGATTTAGATCTGGAGACTGTGCTGCCCACTCCATGTTTTCAAGCTTA